GAGCTGGCCCAAGGCCGAGCGAGGAGGTGGCTTCACAGTGGTTAGTAGGATGAACTGACTTGGCAGGCAAGCAATCCAGCGAACAGAATCCCTGGATTACAGCAGGGATAAGCCAAGGGACCCCCGAGGGGGGTAGAGGGAGATCTCTGCGCGTGCTGAGCTGTGGGATCGGCTTAGCCCCAATACGTCAGTTCATACCGGGATGTGGCGCAGCGCTGCTGGCTGTCCGCAGAGCCCGGCTCCGGCGGCGCCTTCGGAAGGCGCGATGCCGGCCTGCTAGGGCCTTGCCTGGCTGGGGGAGGACGTAGTGCGGCGCTGTCAGGCTGCAGGTTGGGCAAGAGCCGCCTCACTGCGGTGCCAGGCTGGGATCAGATAAGGGCAGGTTTCGTCTGGCTCGTGCTGGGACAGGACTGGTTGGGACGATAACCAGTTTGTCAGCGTTCAGGGATCTGCGGCGTGGAGCCCCAGCCTGGGCTTCCAGCACTTCAGCCCTACGCAAGCCTGTTCCGGGTTGGATGAGCTGCGCGAGTGCTTAAACGTTTTAATTTCTTTATCTCCCTTCAGGATGAGGACCTGGACTATCGGAAGCACACCGACAACTTTGGGAAGGTAATGTTGTTCTGGTCATGGACGTCTGGTCATTGTCCTGTCTGAGGATTCCCAGCGTGCTTTCTGGCCTGTGCCGCACGCTTGTTCCCCCCACCCCATTGGCAGTAACCCCAGGAAGTGCCTGCTGCCCCGTAACGGTGTGCGCTGCGTGTTTCCCCAGGGGCCCAAAGGTCACAGTCCCTGGACGGGCGTCTCGCAGTTCCTACAGACCTCTCAGAAGATCATCCAGTTTGCGTCAGGGAAGGAACCGCAGCCGGGAGACACCATCATCTACGTGGCCGGAGCCTTTGACCTGTTCCGTATCCTTGACTGCAGCGTGGCTCTTTGATGTTCCCGTGTTTCCAGACACCAGGCTGGGATATTTGCCTGGGTTTTGTTTCTCTGTGTTGAGGGGAGGAGGCCGGAGTTCCCACTGGCAGCTCCTTAGTCACAGCACACAGAGAAAGGAGCTACAGCCGTGGCTGTTGAAGGTTTCAGGAAGGCAGCTGGATACTCCTCCCACCCCAGGGATCATGCTGGTCCCTCGCGAGGACTGGCTGCTGTCGCCCAAGTCATTGCACGGGCCGCGTGGAGCGGGCGCTGCGTCCCAGGAGAGTCCCTGGGGCGTTGTGCCGGATGGGTGGGGAAGCTGAGGCCGTGGGGCAGAGCTGGAAGATCCTGCCTTTGCCCAGACCGGGGGGTGGGGACTGAGGGGGGGGGTGCAGCTCTTCTTGGGACAGAGGCGATGGTAATGCGGACGAGGCTGGGAGCAACCTGGTCTAGTGGAAGGTGTCCCTGCCCATGGCAGGGGGGTTGGAACTGGATGGTCTTTAAGGTCCCTTCCAAACCAAACCATCCTGTGATTCTGTGAAAAGATCCTCGGGACTCCTGGCTCCCAGTGCAGCTTTTCGGGGCATGTTTCCGTCTTCCTTTCCCCGTTTGCCGTGTTGGCTTCAGTTCCTTAAACAGGGCTGCAGACATCGGGCACGTGGATTTCCTGGAAAAGGTTCACCAGCTGGCGGAGAAGCCCTACATCATCGCTGGGCTGCACTTCGACCAGGTCTGTGCTGAGCAGCTCGGCCCCCGTTCCCTCGGAACAGCGCTCGGGAGGGCAGGCCAGGGGCGTGTTGGCCAAGGCAGGATTTTCGCATTGGGAGGGAAAGGGGATGCTTTGTCTCCCTTCCAATTGTGCCTCCCGCTTCGCCGCAGGAGGTGAATCGCTACAAAGGGAAGAACTATCCCATCATGAACATCCATGAGAGAACGCTGAGCGTCTTGGCCTGCAGGGTAAGTGCCTCTGCGCCATCCCAGGGATTCCCCGCAGCTGGGGCTGCTCGCCTGGAGCCAGCACATTCCACGGTGTGCACCGAGAGGGCCGGGACCAGGCTCTCCGCCGGGCTCCCTGGTGGACCGCTTCTTCCCCGCCGACCCGGGCTGTTGGAGCGCGCCGGCTCCGCTCTGCCGCAGCGGGAGGGCAGGATGCTCTGCTCCACGGCTGCGTTCTTGTGGGAAACTGCTCCCTGCAGCAGGGGAGAAAATTCCGGGGAAAGAAACGTGGGGAGGCCCAGAGACCTGTGCCCTGAGCGATCAACTGTCGGGTTGGTGCTGTACACACGGCCAGAAAGCGTGTCCCGTGGTAACGCGAAGGTGCTGCGTGACAGCCTAGAGCCCCTTCCAGTGCCAGGGGAGGGAGTGACAGGACAAGGGGTGACGGGTTTAACCGGAAAGAGGGAGATGGAGATGGGATATCAGGAAGGAATCCTTCCCACAGAGGGTGGGAGCACTGGGACAGGTTGCCCAGAGAAGCTGTGGATGCCCCATCCCTGGGAGTGTCCAAGGCCAGGCTGGGTGAGGCTTGGAGCAACCTGGGCTATGGAAGGTGTCCCTGCCCGTGGCAGGGGGTGGCACTGGGTGGCTTTAAGGTCCCTTCCCACCCAAACCAGTCTGGGATTCTATGCCAAGCAGCTGCTAAACCCGCTTCCCTCTTCCCTGACTCGGTTGCTCACTAACCAGATGCTGCCCAGGCCTGTTAGGGAGCGGGTTGGCCTCTGCTGGGGCTCTTTCCCCACATCCGGACTCTAACCCGGATTCTTTCCTAGTACGTCTCGGAAGTGGTGATCGGAGCCCCCTACGCTGTCACGGCTGATCTGCTGGATCACTTCAGGGTGAGAGACCGCGCCAAGGGCGCACACGAAGGCGTGGGGTGCCGCGTGCTGGGGGCACGGAGGGGAGGTGGTTGTGCTCAGCAGGGGGACGGGGGCTCCCGACGTGCTGCCAGGGCTGGGGG